GATTAGTATGTACTGGCAGATTTTTTCATTTGTGATGTTTTCTCATGTCTATTCATTACATTATGAACAGATTTAGCAGTTATGAGGGAAATGCTCTAAAAGTACAGGGGTATCTCACCATTCAGCGAATTGCTAGCGGCTGTACTTTTGAGAGTTTGAAAGCAAAATGGGGACACATTCGTCTACACTTCAATCAGAGGGCATTTGTGCTCTGAAAAAACAGACTTGGGGGTGACACATTTTTCAATGTGGTTCTGGGATTGTACACAGGCATAGGACTTGTAGATAAATTGTGTATTTTCCTTTTCAGTTGGTAAAGAATGTTTTTCTGCATCTTAAGCCCTGATTTTTCCTCTCTGTCTTTTAAAGTTTGCCAAAGAAACTAGAGTGCATAAAAACGTCTATTTGCAACCACCTTCTTCGTGGCTCAGGTATCAAAACTTCAAAGCATCATCTGAGACAGAGAAGATCACAGAATAAATTTTTACGGAGACAAAGTAAACCACAGAGAAAGTTGCAGTCGACTCTTTTAAGGGAAATTCAGCAGTTCTCTCAAAGGACTCGGAAGACTGCTGCAGATACCAGTGCTAAGTGGAGACTCTCACACTGTACTGTGCATAGAACTGATCTCTACCCTAACAGTAAGCAGCTCTTGAATAGTGGAGTTTCAATGCCTGTCATACAAACTAAGGAGAAAATGATGCATGAAAATCTTAGAGGCATCCATGAAAATGAAACTGATTCGTTGACAGTGATGCAAATAAATAAAAACAGTACATCAGGAACCATTAAGGAGACAGATGACATTGATGATATTTTTGCTTTAATGGGAGTTTAGGTGTTCATATGTGAGAATTTTAAGTGATTAACAAGGCTCGTTCAGTGTTCTAAGTAGAACTGCTAAGATCTGGAAGTACCACCTGGACTCACAGAGGAGCTGCTTTTGTGCAGCATTGCACAGGAGTTCAGTTCAGTTCAGTCTACATATAAAGTAGCACTGTGTCATTTCATCAACAAGTATTTCTTTTTGGTTTCAACTACATGCCAGGTGTTAATATGAAAAATCTGCCACAGCTTACCCTTGAGAAGCAGATGTATTTCCTTGAGGCCAGTAAGTCTCTGAAAAACTGAATAATTTTATGACTTACTGGGCAATTTAATAATCGTTTGCAAAAACCATTGTGTCTTGAGGTAAATGAGGAGGGAGGGTGGGGGATAGCAAGGAAACACCTGAAAGGTCACTTTGGCCTTAATTGGTTCCATTGTACATAGGTCCACCTCTGAATACTGGTTTGTAGCTCCTGACAGTTATGCTGTCTTGTAAGTTGGAATTGATCATCAAGGTTTGCCACTGCTTGTATTACCAGGGACTGGTTACAACCATTATTTCTCTTCATTTGCTCAGCTTATCTCATATTGAAGTGCGTTTGGAGTTCTCCAGGAGGTTTTAATTGTATTTATTTGGCTACCAGTGATTGATTCCAAATAAATCTTTTTACAAAAAGGATATAAGGTGGTTTATGGTTACATATGAAATATAACAGGGTAACAGGTAGAGAAAATAAAATGAAAATATCAGGTTAGGAGACACAAAGTAGACCCAGGAATGAGGCTAGAACATTTATAATTTGGTGTTGATGCTGTCATCTGATAGGGGATGTTGCTCATACTGTTGCTCTGAGGGAGTACATCTTGAGTATTTTCAAATAATGATGTGAAGTTTGAGGTAGGTATCTTTCCACTGTTCTGCTTTACTAAAATTAGGTTATTAAGCTTCTCTAGTGGCCTTAACTTTTGTTACACAGAGATTTAAAGAAAACCAAAGCAGTACCTTAGTTATGTACTGCATCCTCCTTTTCCTCAGCCACCCTATCGTAACAAGTTATTTCCCTTCCATTCTTTATTTGACTTTGTTCTTTCCCTGTCTGCCTTCTGCATTTTCTCAGTTATCTACCAGTGGTTCTCAAACTTTAGACTTTTTGAGAATCGCCTGGTGGGTTGCTAAAAGATGCAGATTAGTCCTTTACTAGAGACTTATAAACAAGGGCCAGAAATCTGTATTTTTAACATGGAGCCCACGTGATTTTGATCCAGGTGGCCCCAAATCCAGTTACGTAAACACTGCTTTAGCTTCTCTCCTGAAGCCTTGTTAAGTAAACTGGTTTAATCTTTAATCTCTAGTCACTTTTCATGTTCCTTTTGGCTTCCTACCAAGTGGTAGTATCCATTTAGTGCCTTAAAATATGGACAATACCAAGGAGATTTCATTCCAGACAAATCTAGAAATGGCCATTAGCTTCTAAGTGTCCTTGTGTTCAATATGTTTCCTTTACCTATTGGGAAATGGAAGGTAAATTCGTAAGAGAACTGGTGTATAGCTTTGTGGACCATAGGGCTTATTTGCTGAGAGTTGTCTATATTGATGCACCCAGTCCCCTAAGTAGCCTTTTTTAAGACTTCATGTAACTGATTCAGAAAAAAACTCCCAGTCAAGACTTCATTTAGCTGATTCAGAAAAAAACTCCCTGGGAATTAGGAGATTTAAGGTTCAGTCTTGCTGCTTCTACTTGCATGTGGCTTCACTGAGCTAGTCAGTTTCCCCTGGCTTAGGTTTCTGGAATTGACGTGGATTTTTTTTTTTTCAAGAATGAAACTTTTATAGCTGAAATAAACTTTGGAGCTTATCTTTCATTGGAAAAACCAGGGAGGTTCAGTGAGTTAAGGACAATACAGCATGGACTGGACCACACCAGTCTAGCATTTGTTTCCAAATTCATTCATGTTCTTTTGGAGTATCTTCATCTCCTCATTTTCCTGTCTTCTGCCCTTTACTATTCTGTAAAAATGGCAAAAAAGCTTCACATGTGTACACAAAATGACAATGTGTATGTTTATAAGGAATTTAGTATTCTATATCAGTTTTTCTAAATAAATCGAAATATTTATCATTTAAAAAAATGCAATCTAAAGTATACCAAACTGTAACTTACCTAGTGAGATTAGAAACTACTGTCAGGGTCATCGTAGTGAATTATTATTATTACTACTTTTGAGACAGAGTCTTGCGCTGTTGCCCAGGCTGGAGCACAGTGGTATGATCTCAGTTCACTGCACCCTCCACCTCCTGGGCTCAAGCTATTCTCCCACCTCAGCCACCTGAATAGCTGAGACTCCAGGCACCACCCTGCCCTGGCTAATTTTTTAAAAACTTTGTGTAGAGATGGGGTTTCACCATGTTGCTTAGGCTGGTCTGAAACTCCTGGACTCAAGGGATCTGCCCACTTTTGTCTGCCAAAATGCTAGGATTACCCACATCCTAGCACCAACTTTATCACTTCTGATGGCATTAGGACACACAGGCCATTTATAAGAGCAGTGTTTGAGACCTCGTGTGTGTCACTTCAAAGCCTCTTGGCCTTCATACTAAAGTCACTGCTGTGGTAACCACTTTCAAGTAGGGCTGAACCTTGCCTCTTGCTCTGGGGACGGCTCACTTCCTGCCCCTGGGCTTCTCAACAGCTGCAGGAACTGCCTAGCACTGGGGTATGTACAACCCAGAAGAGGTGTGGGGCTACCCCATCCCCTCCTCAAAGAAATTCAGAGGCACAGTGTGAGGCTGACTTCCATCTTGGATGCTAATCTACCATGTTGACTTCTGATAACCAGTTCCAGGAATGCCTCTGAGATTTCTACTTTTACCTGTTAAAAGAACACACACTCACTGTAAATCCTGGCAAATTATAGGCTATGTTGCAAACAGCATTCTTGCCTTTCCCTGAGGAGTTGACTTCAGTGTCTCACATGTTCCTTCTGAAGCATGTAAACCCTTTTCACTATGGCATATAAGCCCTGGGTCGGGGGTAACTGCGGGGATCCACTGTCTCGTCACTGCCTGAGACATGGCTTCTGTGCATAAGTCCCTAATAAATGTTTCTGACACAATGGATTTGTCGGCCTCTTTCTTTGGCATCTCAGCACCCTCAGTCTTTAGGGATAGGTTGCATAGACCTGCTCACTGTAGAACACATATTTCCTAAGACTTGTCATAAGTTCCCTCAAGATCTAGCACTAGTGCCTACGTTTTGGCTAACTCAATGAATATGTCGTTAATAGGCCTGTCTTGTTTCATTTTGCCACTGTTTCCTGGGATCACTTCCCAAATTTACATATGTAAGCTTTTGGCTCAGGCTCTGCTTATAGGAGAACCAAGGATAAATCAAAGCAGTAAAGTAACACTGACAGACAAAAAGATGACTTCCAAGATAACTCTTTTGTTACTATATATTTTATGAATGTCTATATTTAAAAAATCTTTTTTCTGGCTGAAAACATTCCGGGTTAGATTAGACCAATTCCATCAACTATACAACTGACAATATATTCAGATTATTTTCTGAAAAAAAGCCATGAAGTTGGTTTATAGCTTTAATTAATTTTTTATCCAGCAATACAGCTATAACCTTTTAATATTCAGCTTTACTTTGAAAAGCTAAGCCACTTACATGAATAGGTCAGTGGCACCTTTGCAAAAATCTTTTCTATTACCTTTAGTTCAAAGGCTTTATCTTTCCATTCTGAATTTTAAATGTAGCCGTCTAAACTGTCCCATCAGCTTTTTTCTCTTGCCTTTTGCAAATTAGTTTTTTCACTTAAAGCTATTTTTGTTTTTTGCTTTTTCACTAGTGAAAATGTTACTTCCCCCGTGAAAGGACATTTCCTGTAATCTACCTGTGAATTTTGCTATATTTCTTTGTTGGTTTGGCTTTACAAATATGTAGCTGTCTTCTCACATGTTACCTGCTGTAAAACCATTTTACTCTTAATAGCTTTCAAGGTACAGTAACATAAATTTCAGAGAAATCAAGTAAGTTGCCCAAGATCCAACATATATAATAAACATCAGAACTGGAACTTGAATTCTGTTCTTTCAGTTGTTTCCAACATGGACTAACACATTTTATCAAGAATGTTTTCAATATTCAAATAAGGACTCAAAAAAATAGGCGTACATAGTAACATTTATCCATCAACTTACCTATTGATGCTTAACAGAAAAGCAGCCCCCTTTTACCTGGCCCATATTAACATTAAAAAAAAAAATACACGTAGTAGACATATTCTTCAAAAGACAAAAGCCCAATAAAATGTCAAACCCTTCTCTACATAGTTGTAACGGGTTTTCATTTTATGGCTGTGCTCTTGCTCGTCAGTTTGTTAAAACAGGGGAATCAGCTAGTAGCTGTTCTAATGAACACCATAATTCAATTACTTATAAACTCCCCCCCCAGGCGCAAATTCTTGTTTTAAAGCTGAAGTGATCCTCCTGGAAGTTACAGATGCCCAACATTTAAAACAATGTTGGAATTCTTCTAGGTATTTAACTCCAGTTAGCATAAAGCTTCTTTTTTTTTTTTGAATCTTCAGCTAAACTGGGAACCGTTAGTCAAGATTTCCTGTTACACTGGCTATAAAGCATCTCAACAGATGGATTCCAGAAAAGGTCACAGAGCTGTGAAAAGAAAAGAAAAAAATAATTTTCTTCCTTTCCTCAGAGATAACATCTGAATTCATCAACTTAAAAAAATTTGCAAATTCTTAGGATTTCATGTATGAAAGCAGAACATCTTTTAATGTGTTCTAGCTTTCTTCTCTTCCCCCAGCCCCGTCTTGTAGTATCCTAAAATCTGATGATCAATATCTGATCCATTTCCTTCATGATTCCAAAAATTTCACTATACCTTCTGTTTTGCTTTGTTTTCCAGAATAAGTCTTGATCTCTTTAGTTTGTTCTTTTTTGTAACAAATATTCAATTACCTTGTTAGACTTTTCAGGTTTTAAAAAAATTACCATGACTGTTACTGTATATATTATTTTTCTATCTGTCTTCCTACATCCATCCATCCCTCTGTCTGTCCATCAGTATGGAGATCAGCCAAAATGTTTCTCAGGTATGGATATACTAGTTTTTTTTTTTTTTTTTGAGACGGAGTCTTGCTCTGTTGCGCAAGCTGGAGTGCAATGGTGCGATCTTGGCTCACTGCAACCTCCGCCTCCCAAGCAGCTGGGATTACAGGCGTGTGCCACCACACCTGGCTAATTTTTTTTGTTTGTTTTAATTTTTCTAGAGAGGGTTTCACCATGTTGACCAGGCTGGTTTTGGACTCCTGACCTCAGGTGATCCGCCGAAAAGTGCTAGGATTAACAGGTGTGAGCCACAGCGCCTGGCCTTCAAATGCCTCTAGTTTTAAGTGACACTTTAAGAGATACTGACAGTATTACAGGTTTTCAGTATATAAAGTTATAAAAACAATTCAACTAACAAGTGGATAAAGAAAATGTGGTATATATGTACCATGTAATACTACTCAGCCATAAAATGGAACAAAATAATGGCATTTGAAGCAACCTGGATGGAGGTGGAGACCATTATTCTAAGTGAAGTAACTCAGGAATGAAAAACCAAATGCTGTATGTTCTCACTGATAAGCGGGAGCTAAGCTATGAGGACACAAAGGCATAAGAATGATATAATGGACTTTGGGGATTCATGGGGAAAAGTGGGAGGGGCGAACGATAAAAGACTACACACACGGTACACTGTACACTACACTGCTTAGGTGATGGGTGTGCTAAAATCTCATAATCACTAAAGAACTTTTCCACACTACCAAAAACCTGTTCCCCAAAAACTATTGAAATAAAAAAATTTTAAAACCCACATCATTCTCATGTTACTTCATAAAATACAAAAAATAAAACAACTCTTACCTTACAGGAAACAACTGAGGAAAACATCCTTGAGTTTTCGTGTTAACAAATTTCTGGATTTGAAGCACTTGTTTTAAGAGATGTCCCTTGGAAGATTTGTCAATTTTTGTTAATACAATCTATAAGAAAACAAATTTTTATGCATTAGAAATAAAGTGGTTCTTAATAATTTTACACATTTTAGCTACAATTTTTCATTCACAGCTAGGTGACCCGTGCAAATTTATCTCTGTACCTATTTCCTCATCTATAAAACAAAAAGAATGACCCATAAAGGAGTAGCTACGAAGATTAAATGAGCAAATGTGTGAAACACAAAGTATACGCTGTGTGTCTGCTGCTTAATAGTGCTTTAACCACATAGGGCGATAATATCTTGGAAAGATCAATGAGAAGGGTCCTGGAGTTACATTTGCAATTGTTCATATGATCACAATATACCTGATAGCTTAAGATATATAAATGAATATTGGGTTTATCTATATAAAATTGTCAATTTGTAATCATTTTTTGACCTATACTCTAAAGAAGAAATCAGGCTATTTGTAGGTTGTATCTACTAGTTATATTCCAAGTAAGTCCAGAATTCTACTTGTCCAAAGACAAGTATCGTAGTGCAGAAAAGGTCAAAGTATGGATGATTACAAAAATCAATTAAAAATAAAACCTTAATCCACCAGGTATTCCTGGTGAGTTTCTGTAAAATTAAATTTCCTGGCAAATCATTTTTGCTTTTTAGTCATAAAAGATACTAATGGCAGGAGTGAGATGTCATGATACATATATTGGTTTGTGTCCACGGTTCCTTTCTCATAACTCCCATAGCCCTTGTTACAATCTTTTGTTTTAATGTTGGATATGTTAGGCATCAGGAAATAAAATCTCTCTGACCTCCTGCCTTCCATTCACCTGCTCCAAGACAAGACTTGTAATCTTCCCTCACCTTTCTCATTGTGGGTCATATGACCCTCATTCCAGAGAGGGTCCCACCCCATGCCCTGGGAGAAGGGATGCTGATGTCATGAAGGCCCAGAAGACTGGGTTTGGAGAGCTTTCAAATAGCTGAACACAGGGACGTTCCCAGAGGGTGGCATGCCCAAGGAGGACATGGAGGTTCTGTGCATCTTCACTGTATCCTTTGTAATATACTTTATAATACCATCAGAAAACATGTTTCCCTGAGTTCTGTGAGCCACTCCAGCAATTAATCAGACCCAAAGAAGGGGTAGTGGGAACCCCAACTTGAAGCCAGTCTAGATATTCTAGAGGCCCAAAATTGTGACTAGTGTCTGAAGGCGGGTGGGAGTAGTCGTCTTGGGGACTGAATCCTCAGTCTGTGGGATCTGATGTTATCTCCAGGTAGACAGTATTAGAATCAAATATTCAGATACCGAGCTGGTGTCCACTGCTTGCTGGTGAAGAAAAAACCCCTACATATTTGGCCACAGAAATAGGTGCTAATTGTTGTGGTATGAGAGCAGAGGAAAAACATGGTTCCAGTGTTTTTCCCATAGTGAGAAGCAGAAAGTGTGTGGTTTCTAATGACCTGTGAATCCCTCCACAAATGGGAGTCTTTTCTCATAAAGGCAAATATACTGATATTTAAAAGGAGATACAGATATAATTTCTCTATTCCAATTCCTTTTCCAATGAAGAAAGTACTATTTCCTTTCAATTAAAATTGAGGAAAACATATGATTTCATAAACTAGTATCTGTGATACCAAATAAGGAATACTATTATTTAGTTTGGCAATATTTAGGCATTTTTACTAGGTAGACTATCAATCCTTTGACTCCTAATAAATTGTCTCTAATGCTTCATAGGGCTTTTGCAAACCCCAAGAATTCCAAGACCCCAAGAATAAAACAAAAGTGGCTAACTAGTTACTTGGTGTGATTTGTACTAAACTCCACTTCTACATATTAGTGGCTTTCTGACATCTTTTTGAAACCAAATTATAGTTATTGTGTTCTTCACTTTTCTTTGGAAATAAACTTTAAGAGTGCTATTTTATCTGGAAGTCTCACAAAGCAAAATTAATGTGGATACCAATCTACAATTCTGTATTCTATTCTAGGTCAAAAGACAAAGAATACTTGAAAGAAATTCCCAGAAGAAATTTTGTTTGCTTTAAAAATATAAAAATCCTACTAGTGTGTGCTGGAGGCTGCTATGTTCCTGGAATAATTTTAAAATTTTAAATTAGTTAAGCAACTTTTAAAGTGGCAGTTTTATTCACATTCTTATCAGTACTGTCTGTCAAGCTACTGTTAAAGAGTTAACTTTTTCTGAAAAAATGTTTATGTTGCTATAAAAAGAAAAAGTGAAAAGTACATAAGAACATTAAATGAACAGCTGAAAGAAACCTTTAATTTTTAAAACATACAGCTGAGCAACAGAAAAGAATAAAAGTGCCACAGAACTTATTTTAATTAATATTAACGGATGATTAATTGAAAAGATTATTCAAAAGGCACTCTCCTTTATCTTTTGAGGAGGCAACACAAGCTCAATTGTTAAAAGGTGCATGTACACACAGATGCACATAGAACTGATTATTTCTAATTGCAACCATGATTCAAAGGAAGTACTTACCACATAAGGTAATGCAAATTCTTCACACATTTCTATGGCAATATTGTCTGTTTTTTGAATTCCAACAACACTATCCACTAATAAAAATGTTCTCTTCAAGCTATAAGCATGCAGAAAAGAAGATTAATGGCAATATAAAATATACCCATTCATTTATCCCCTCTTCCTTACTATACTAAGAAATTCTCCTTGGAGTAAATCTCAATCCAAAATTAAAAAATTTCTTCAGGCAAAAGGAATTCTCAATTTGCCAGAAGTTTATCCTGCAGTCCAGTAGGTCTCAGTGCTATTTACTTTCAATAACTAAATTCACTAAATATTAACTTAATTCAATAAGGATATATTGGACATAAGACATTCTGCCTGGGACTTGATATATAATGAGTGACTTCCCTCTTCTAAAAGCTTAAACTCGAGGAGAAAGAGATACAAATCAAATTAACCATAAATTACAGATTATAAATTATAGAAACCATAATTTATATAAATCAAATTAACCATTAGTTAGAAAACTTTGTTTTTTTAGAGCCTCATTTGGTTGCCCAGTCTGGAATGCAGTGGCACGATCTTGGGCCACTAACCTCCGCCTCCTGGGTTCGAGTGATTCTCCTGCCTCAGTCTCCTGAGTAGTTGGGATTACAGGCGTGCACCACCATGCCTGGCTAATTTTTTGTTGTTGTATTTTTAGTAGAGTTGAGGTTTTACCATGTTGCCAGGCTGGTCTCGAACTCCTGACCTCAAGTGATCCGCTGGCCTTGGCCTCCCAAAGGCTGGGATTACAGGCATGAGCTGCCATGCCTGGCCTGTATAGAATTTTTTTTTTCTTTTTTTTTTTGAGATGGAGTCTCGCTCTGTTGCCCAGGCTGGAGCGCAGTGGCACAATCTCGGCTCACTGCAAGCTCTGCCTCCCAGGTTCATGCCATTCTCCTGCCTCAGCCTCCCGAGTAGCTGGGACTATAGGCACCGCCACCATGCCCGGCTAATTTTTGTATTTTTAGTAGAAACGGGGTTTCACCATGTTAGCCAAGATGATCTCGATCTCCGGACCTTGTGATCTGCCCACCTTGGCCTTTATTACCCTAACACTAATAGATAACAGAAACCAGACAAATTATATTTTGTATTTTCTTATGTAAATATTTGATTTTACCCTCTATGTAAAGCTACAACAAATAAGATACTTATAAACATTTTTTTACATTTCAAAAGATTAACATCAATTTTCTATATATGGTGCAATTTTTGAAACAGAACTGTTACTTGACTACATAAGGAGACAAAAAAGAGATATTATTTGCAGCAGATCTGATGTCTGAAGTATTTTAAGATGATCAGAATTTACTGATTTTAACCAACAATTTTCATTTTCAAAATTAGCCAAGTAAGAGTTTGGTTTAAAAAAAAAATTAATGGGCCGGGCACAGTGGCTCACGCCTGTAATCCCACACTCTGGGAAGCCGAAGTAGGTGGATCACCTGAGGCCAGGAGTTCGAGACCAGCCTGGCCAACATGGTGAAACTCCATCTCTACTAAAAATACAAAAATGAGCTGAGCATGGTGGTGCACACCTGTAGTCCCAGCTACTTGGGAGGCTGAGGCAGGAGAATCACTTGAACCCGGGAGATGGAGGTTGCAGTGACTCCAGATCGTGCCACTGCACTCCAGCCTGGGTCACATAATGAGACTGTCTCAAAAAAAAAAAAAAAAAAAAAAAAAAAATTAACTATGCTGAGTACTCTTTAGTCTCAATTAAAATTTGGGAAAACACTTAAATTTAATATTAGGGGTAAACTAAACCACAGACAGAAAACAAGCAAGCAGTATAAACCTTGGCCCTAAATATTGTATTGTGGAATATTATGAGAATAAAATGGACCTTATAAAATAAGTCATTTGATAAAACTGAAGTGTTAATCATGTATATAATACTCTACTGATGAAAACATGTGTTGGGGTTAAATGTATAACTATTATAAGAAAATATTTTCCTTACTTTCTTCGTTCTTTTAGATAGGTCTCTACCATGTCAACAAAATCTTCAGGTGCTCTATAGCCATAACCTGGCATGTCCACCACTGTAAAATGTTTTCCAACTTTGAAAAAATTCATTTTCTTTGTGTGTCCCTGATAAAGTAAATAGAAAAAAAAAAGCTGTCTTAAGATATGTCCTCCATCTACTTAATGATTCAAAATGTTTTCCAGTTAATCAACCAATATTTATTAAAAGTCAAGTACATATAACCTTAACTATGCTGATGATGAACAGGAAGAGAAGACAGAAGGGGAATGGCTGGAGATAAGTTTAGATCATACTACTTTTTGCTTCATTTTAAAAAAAGAATCTGTATGACTTAAGAAGAACTTTAAATTCCATATTAGAAACATATGGGCAAAATATTTTGGAGTCTTTCCTATTGGATTAACTCTTAGTGACAAATTCACCCTGTTCTAAATTGTGACTGCATCAGTCAACATTCTCTGATGAACAATATATCTCCACTTTAAAGAGAAACTAATTATGGCAAGGATGGGTTAAAATGCTTACCATCAGTCATACACATTTTCATAAAACCTAGATCCAAAGTCTGATCGTTTCCTATACCTAGACTATTGCTTCCCTAAAATCAAGATGTTTTGCATATTTTATTAGGTGGATTTTAGTGCTTTCATTAAATAATTTTTTACTGTATAGACAACATAATTACAAAATGTTTGTGCAACTAAAATTGATGCACAGATGATGAAAACTGGTTTATTCGTAGTTTTATGTCCATAGGACATATATTAATCAGAAAAGATAAGATTATGATAGGCAATTTTATTTTATTTTTTTTTGAGACAGAGTTTCGATCTTGTTGCCCAGGCTGGAGTGCAATGGCGCAATCTCAGCTCACTGCAACCTCCACCTCCCAGGTTCAAATGATTCTCCTGCCTCAGCCTCCCGAGTAGCTGGAATTACAGGAATGCACCACCACGCCCGGCTAATTTTATATTTTTAGTGGAAACGGTTTCTCCATGTTGGTCAGGCTGGTCTCGAGCTCCCAACCTCAGGTGATCCGACAGCCTCGGGCTCCCAAAGTGCTGGGATTACAGGCGTGACCCACTGCGCCCAGCGTGATAGGCAATTTTAAAAGTTAAGTCAATTGTTTGGATCTTAGAACAAATATTATCAAAGGAAAGATTTTTATAAATGATTTTAAGTTCCCAGTCAGTTTACTTGTCTATAGGAAAATGATTTTAGAATTACAGATTGGGAATGTCAAGAATACATTTCCTCCATTGTACTCTCACAAAAGGAAGGAGATCACTCTACTTAGAAGTGATCATTTAGCTGATTTATTTGGTAAGGCAGGGCAGGAGTAAGGACGGGAGGGTTAAGGAATGGAAAGAATAATTAGCAATGGAGCCAGAGAATCATTTTATGAAGTGGGGAGCAAGAAAAGACCTAGTGAAGTTTCATGGAAGGGTTCCAACTCAATGAAAGGGGTGTGTGTGCACTCGTGCACGCACATACACAGGGATAGTGAACATTAGGGTTGGTGGAAAGGTTTACCGTGGCCAGATAAGGTGAGAGAAAGTGGGGGTGATTTTGAAGAAAGGGTATCTTAGATACTGGTAGAGACTGCGTCATTGAGAAGAAAGCAGAGGGAATTAGAAAGTGATAGAAAGCTATTACAGCAGACTGGTTAGGAAAACAAGCACATAAGAATATGCTGAATGTGTTTGTGTAACTAATTCATGTACCTTATACCTTAAAAAAGATTCTAGGAGGAAAAAAGCAAGAAAAATCTAAAAGCCATTTCCCCTACAATCAATGTAGAACTAGATGATCACTGTTACAGAAGGAAATATAGAATGACAATAACACACTTTATTTGGCAACTCTTTGCAAAATTTGGATAAAGAAAGATTTTCTGAAGATACTGTCTAGACTACTAAAATAAATCCAGCTACACTTCCTTTTCTTCAGAGAAATACACAGGCATTAGGATGTCTTACTTTATTACTTTTTTGAAAGAAATCACTTCTCTAGGAACTTAGCAATTATGATTTCTTATACCTTCCAGCATTTATTATTCATGTTAGTTAATCCAAGAGATAGTCCAAACATATTTAAAAACTTCAACATACTGGTTTTTTGGAGACTCTGACTTCAACCTCAGGGGCCAGTGAAAATAAAGCCTTGATTAGGGATGATTTTCCAACATTGCTTCTGCCTATAAAACACACCTTATACAAGAAAAAAGAAGATAAGTTAAGTACTAGCTGTATATGATATTCTGCATTAGATGCAAAAAACTTCAAATTCTAACATAGCTAATATTTATTGAATGAATTCAATGTGCTAGACACCATTTTAAGCATTCAGCATATATTTTATTTTATTTTTTACAGCATCCTAGGAAGTAGGTGATATTATCCCCTTTTTACGGATGAGAGAACACAATAACCCCAAATTATACAGCTACAACGTGAAGGAGTTGGGATTTGAACTCAGGACATGTATATCTACAATCTGTGCTTTTAGTTTCACTACACTACTCAAGAATATATGCAACTGTTATTATGCATTTCATATTTACAAAGCTTTTTAGGGTAAAACCTAAATGTAGTTCAACAGAACTAGATGAAAAGTACAACTACATGTTTGGAAGCACATTTTCTCAGGCACCCCCATGGTATACTGTAACCCCACTGCAATTTAAAAACGTACTCTTTTCCCTTGATCTCTCTTGTTCCAATTAAGCTTTTCTCCTCTATAGTGTGGAAAACAACAGAATATTCCCGATAGTAACCATTAATACACATGGCTCTGCTTTTGAACATGGTATTGAGGGAATGGGGTACAATGCCAATCAGTTGTTCTCAATGACGGCCGTACTGCCCCTTGAGGGACATGTTGGAGATTTTAAGGGCATTTGTGGTTATCAAGACAACTGGGGAACATTTACTGGGCAGGGGCCAGGGAACCTGTCCTGGAAAATTCTGGTCACTCCTTAAAAATTAATTGATCGGAGTCCTGCAAAAATTTTAAATGCTCTGCCAGAGCAAATCTAATGCTATTATGTAGATTAAACTGAATTTTAAAAACGAATTACAAAAAAGTCCAGTAATTTAGAAGCTTAAATAAAAAAGCAATGGCTGTCTCAAAATCATTAAATAATTGAGGTACTCCTTGAATCCTGACTATAGTTCTACATATATTTACACAAAATATCTGACTACAGTTCTACATATATTTAGATGAAATATCTCTGGGCGATGGTGCACTTAATGTAAATACACATGGAGAGCTGAGATGCCTTTTAGCAGACTTAGAACAGAATATCATTAAATTGCAGGACATGCAAAAATGCTCACTCATGAAATTTCACTAATAAACGTTGTTATAAAAAACTTTCCACATTATTGCCATCTAGAGATAATTATTATTTTTGCAAATGATAGGAAATTTAGATTAGGCGAAAGTTACTTATTGAAAAGGACCATCTCATATGTGAAACAATTACTCGTTTCCTATTCTTCACTGTCTAAATTCTGTCTAATTTGTCTGGCATGTTTTCCCTGCTTAAGTTAAATAGGAGAAAAAAAGGACAGAGTTAATTTTTTGAATGCGCAGTTTGGGTTTGAAAACCTTTTAAAGCCCTTTGAAGTCTTCTATATTCATTCCCAAAATAATTTAAACTGTATACAGGCAGTCTCTGGCTTACAGCGGGTCAACTTAACGATTTTTGACTTTACGATGGGTTTGTGGGGTATTGACTGCATTTTCTACTTACGATGGGTTTATCGGGTATCCCCACGTACATGGAGCATCGGCATATATCTATTTAGTTAAAATAATACATGCGCTCACACAAAGCTAGAAAATACAACAGCAAAATCACCCGCGAGCCCGACAGCCGGGACAGCTGTTAGCGCTGTGACGCCGGCGCGCAGGTGAACCGTGAGAATCGCCTCTTACCTCAGGCCGGGGGAGGTCCGGGGCGTGGTCTATACGAACGGCAGAGCTGACGTAGTCGATGCGGTTCCCTTCAGTGGCCGTGAAGACGTTGTCCGCCCTCGCGATGTCCTCCGGGCTCGGGTCAAAGATACGCAGGTGAAGGTCTTGCCTCCTGTCGGGGGCGAGGAACCGCTCGACTTCCTGCAGCGGGTAGAGCAGCTTCCTCAGCTGCTGCTTCGGCAGCCGCAGCACCTCAGCAAAGGCTTGGGACGTGCTGTTAGAGCGGCTCAGTAGTTCCAGCACTGCAGGCATTGCAAACAGCTTTTCCGCTCTCAGCCGCAGCCTGGGCGCCGCCATTCTCCCTTCCCAGAAGGCGGGCAGAGAGACTTTACTCCTGTGGCCTGGGTTGCACGTGGGTGAGCGCCCGCTGCCGCCGCGACGCCTGCTGGGAGTTGTAGTCTCCTCTGGCCTCGTCCGTTCCCGTCTAAGCTTTTTGCGTTCAGTGAGCGGGAGGAGGGTGGAGGCAGGCGGTGACCTGCGGGGAACAGCTCACTGAGTTTCTTTAACACTTTGGGCTTAACGATTATGCCTTACTGGAAGGATGTTTAACGGTTTCCAGAGGTTAAAGACTTACCTGGCCATGTGGCCCTTGAGTTTCAAGCGAAGGACTAACAGTGTGAAGCTCTGATACATTCCAGGAACGCTTGATTTTCACAGTTTTTGGTTATCTTATTAACTATTGACGTTTGTCATAAATCCACATCACTAGGATAAACACTTTTGCAAAAAAGAAAAGAGCTGGTGAGAAATGTGATTGTAATAGCACCTCGTTTTCATGGAAGGGGACTGTTTGTATTTCCGCCTTCGCTATAGCTGCAGGAAATGTCATTAAACTTTAGAGATTTCTTACAAAAACAATTTTGCATAGATGTTAGAGAGTTGTTTCCTGGACGTTTCATAATATCTTATTTCAAAAGTTTCTCCGTAAAGCCGATCAGTGCTGAAATGGGAGATACAGGTATCATAATGATGAAATGAATAACTGAAAAATATTCGTATGTTAAATAAACTAGTTTTTCTAAAACCTCAGCAGCAAATAGCAGAGAAAGGATAACTCATGGTTTCTTGAGCTATTCCCCAGGTAGTTCAATAACTAAACAGGACAATTCTTGAATAAATACGATACAAAAGTTAATGAACAGAAGCAACGACTTTGAAGGCAGCCAATACGGCAGCCTGATGTGCTGCTGGCTGGCTAATTTTTTATTGATCTTTGCGTTAGAGTTTGGGGTGCTTTTCTGTTCGCTATTCTCGCTCCTACATATATAAAAGTGTATGTAACACTGTTATATACATCAGAAATTTGGGATTCTTATTTCTGTGTAATATACTTTGAAAGTGCTTTTATACATGCCATTTTGTTTTCAAACCTTGGAGCCCCAGGTTTGGAAATAAGAGCATAAAAGAGTTTTGGCAATTCTTAGAAAGGTTTTAGAGGTGTTCCGGGATTAATAGACATTATAGTATTCATTTAATAATCATTCATGGTTCTGAATTCTAAATCATTTTGGGTTTCATTTGATAGGACAAATCATTTTAGAATTATTTGACAGGACAGTTTTTGCAACAAATTTTCTTGTCATACAAAGCCTGAAGAATCAAACAGTCTACTGGAAAGTATGACTAGTAAAACCACTTGACAATTTATATATATATTTTCTCTTTCACTTCATCTTTTAAAAGCATCTGTGTAAACAAAGCATATGAAACTTCAGAAGGATGGTTTAGAGTTAATAATGCACTATGTTTTCCCTCAACATGATTAAACTCTTTCCTAATTTGCAGAAGTTTAAATATGAAACATACATAGCAGTGAGACATACTAGTAACAAGGGGTTAGAATTGGGAGGAATTAGTTTATAATAACCCCATTGTAGGGCTGCAATGGAAATTTTCTGGTCTACAGGGAATTATCAAAGCCCAGGAAAAGAGGCTCACACCTGTAATCCCAGCACTTTGGGAGGCCAAGGCAGGAGGATCGCTTGAGCCTGGGCAACAAAATGAGACTGTCCCTAAAAAATAAAAACAAAATTAGTATTGAAGGGAATGAAGTCTAGTGGATAGGATGTTATGACAGGACTTTCTGGGTTCTGGCAATAGTACTGTGAATCTGTTGTTGTTGGCAGCATCTTGCTTGGAGGTGGTCTTTTTGTGTGTGGAGTAGGAACTTAACCAATAAGTGTAGATCTAGCCTGCTAGATCAGGGCTAGGTCAGGGCTAAGATTCAGAATAGGGTTTTAGTCCAAGTAGGGAAAAGAAGGACTGTAGATTAGAAAACCTTGCTGTCTAATAATATGCGCCTCCCATTTACTGTGTCCAAAACAGAATTTCTAATATTCTCTAATTGTCTCCTAATCTGTAAGAGACAATGGCACCTTCATTCCTCCAGTTGACCTAGCCGAAAATCTTGGGAGAAATTCTGGACTCCTTTTTTCTGTTACCCCAAGTCGAAGTTGTTAGCAATCCTCTTGGCTGTACCTTCAAAACATATCCTGAATTGGATACTTTTTAGCACATCCACTGCTACCACCCTGATACAAGCCACTATTATCTCCCACCTAGATTATTGCAGTAGCTTTCAGATTGATTACCCACCTTTGCCCTTTGCCCCCTTCAGTATATTTGCAACATGGTGATAGGGAAGCGGGGCAGGGAAGTGCGAGGAGGAGAAGGGCAGGTCCCTGGCTAGAGCTCCACCCCCGGCCTGTGCCCACGGACCTAGATGAGGACAGGCACTTCTGGCTTTGTGCCCAAATGTTGCATTTCCGAAAACCACTCTGGTCTGCCATGCCCCCATCCTGTGCCTATAAAAACCCCCGACACCTAGCAGGCAGATGTACAAGTGGCTGGACCTTGAGAGGAACACGTTGGTGGAAGAAGACAAGCTGCTGGATGTCAAGAGGACGTCGAGGGGAGCAGGCTGCCCACCAGCAGGCCATTGACCAGCAGAATGATGCAGAGTTTGGCAGGGGTGGTTAGAGGGCTGCTGAGTGGCTGAACTCCTGGGGAAAACCATCTCCCTTCTGGCTCCCCTTTCTGCTGTGAGCTACTTCCACTCAAAACCATGCACTCATGGTCCAAGCCCATGTGTGATCCGATTCTTCCAGTACACCAAGGCAAGAACCCAGGATATCGAAAGCTCTCTGTCCTTGTGACAAGGTAGAGAGTCTAGTTAGCTGGTTAACACAAGCCGCCTATAGATGACAAAACTAAAAGAGCACACAGTAGCACATGCCCACTGGGGCTTCAGGAGCTGTAAACATCCACCCCTAGATGCTGCCGTGGGGTCGGAGCGCCACAACCTGCCCGTCTGTATGTCCCCCTAGAGGTTTGAGCAGTGGGGCCCTGAAGAAGTGAGCCACTCCCTGTCACATGCCCTGCGAGGGGGTCAAGAGTACTTTCCCCATTTGAATGGCAGCAACCATGATCCTGTTAAAATATAAGCTAAACCTCCAAGAGCCTCCTGTCTCACTCATAGAAAAAATCCTTGCACTAACCTAAAACGCTCTCCATGATCTTTTGTTTTCTTCTTCCACTCTTGTCTGACTTCATCTACATTCCAGCCACACTGGCTTCCTTGCTGTTTTTCAAGCAAGTCGTATATACACACCTGCCTCTCTGTCCTTGTACTTCTCCCTGGAATGCTTACCCCAGATAATCACATGGCTTATTCCCAGTATGACTTAGGATGTATTTGTGGCCAACCTTCTGAGAAAAAGTGCCTTCCGTTTTGATACCAAGGAGATAGTTTACCACAAAGTTAACAAGGTTTTAGAAATTTAATAGGACTTTGACAGGTGTTACATACTTTATACATCATCCCTACAATCAGCTTTTATTGCTAAAATTCATCTGCCCTAAATGTCGTAGTTATACTTTGTCATGCTCAGCTGAGAACAGAAGGAAGATAGGTAGGACAGGATCCTCTCAATTGTTCTTACTGCAATGTCTGCCTCTATAGCGAATGGCCGTTGGGTCCAGAGTGATCCCAATTTATATCCAGGTCCTATAGGTTTCAAGCTTATGGAATCCATCTAAGACATGAAGAAGGTAAGCTTTGTAGGCCTAGATAGGGAGGGGACACTGGGGACATCAGAGAACTCGCATCCTAAGTTAAACATGGTTTGAATGTCCTGACAGAAGCAAGAGCAGGGACTCTAGCAAAACTTACTTCTAGAACTAGAGAGAGGGAATGGATTAGGTCTCACTGTCTGATTTCCACTAGACCTTTCTTACCCTGACTTTTCCCCTTGTCTTAACAACAATAATGAACATTTATTGAGTGCCTGCTATGCCAGGAATTTATCTGAGTACTGATAAACTATGAGAAAGACCTGGTTACTTTCAAATTGGGATCTCAAACTCTTGTATTAGGAAGAAAATACTGGTACAAAGGAAGATGAAAGAGGCTTTATTTGAAGGAGGATGATATGGGAGAACCTTCCACATAAATTACTTAAATTGTAATAACTACTATCTGAATGAATGATTTAAATTTAAAATACATTTAATTATATTTTTTCTCAGGTTTTCTGTGCAACATTCATTTTAAAATTTTACTTTAGATATTATCTGACACACTGACACACATTTGTGGCACAAGTTTGATTTGGTCACCTAATTTCTTCTTTTGTTTTAGAGACAAGGTCTCACTCTGTTGCCCACCCTGGAGTGGGCACAATCATGGCTCACTATAGTCTCAACCTCCTGGGCTCAAGTGATCTTCCTGCCTCAGCCTCCTAAGTAGCTGGGAGGACAGGCACTCAACCACCCTTGGCTAATTGTACAAAGTTTGTTTTTGTTTTTGTTTTTTTGAGAGACAGAGTCTCACTATGTTGCCCAGGTTGGTTTTGAACTCCTAGCCTCAAGAAATCATCTTGCCTTAGCCTCCCAAAGTGCTGGGATTACAGGCATGAGCCACCACGCCCAGACTTAATTTCTTAATTAGAGTATAAATTATTATTCTTGAGATTTATTATTTTACCATCATTCAAGAACCAATAGAGACGCATTTTCCACGATCTTAGTCTTTGGAGCTCATGAAAGCATTGAGTTTTTTAAAATATCTGATTAATGTATCTTTAGAGAATCTATCTAAGTTTAGAGAATTGTTTTCTTTTTCAGAGACGTTGTTTGAACTTTCTTTTAAGGTTGTGCCTACTGCACTGACAGATTTCTCTAAAGAGATCTGGAGATTAACCATCAGACAGTACTCATATGTAGGAGGTGAGTTCATAGAATGATTTGGATTCTGGAGAAGGAGTAAAGGTTCACTTCTGTCAAGGTTGTTTTTGTCAATAGAGAGAGAAATGATTGCTTTAAGTGGTCTTAATTTTTTTCATTCATAATTTGGCTTTGGCTCTGTGCCATACAAGTGCTATTAGAATAATTTGGAACACTATTTACCATGTTCAAGTTGCATTTTTATATCAGTAACAAGCTCAGAGGGTTTTTTTATTGTTGGAAAATAGTATGGATTTTGCTGTTCTGACTGATTAATGCATTAACATTTTAATTCTTGTTGTGTATTAAGCAAGGTTATTTTAGTGGGCAAGTTTAGTTTGTAGTACACATCTAGTTTATATCTCGTTGCCTTATTGGAAGTGAATGGAATGTTCTCTAACACCCTGAGGGGATGAGGCAACATTCACAGGCAGATATATTGGCACATATTCAAATTTTTAACTTATTCATAGGTAGAGTGTGTCAGGTGTTCCCAAGACTAGCTCCCAGATGAGGTGAACAAGGATGCACAGGACTCAGCATATAGTTGTACTTATGCCTATAATTTACCACAACAAAAGAATACAAAGCAAGCCTGGCAAAGGGAAAAGGCACTCGAAGTTTGGAGGAAGCCAGGCGCAAGCT